AAGCTCTAACTGATAGTCCAAATGCAGGCTAGGGTAGTACTGACATAAAAAGAATCTCTTTGGTATGTCTCCTGTCGTGGTCTGGAATATACATGGCAACAACTGTTGTGAAGTCAACAGTCATGGGCTGGAAGGCAAAAGAAATGCTTCGAGGATACCCCAAAACATATCCTCAGAGAACCAGGTATAAGCCCAGTCTCCTGGGAAATGACAACCTGAGCCCAATGAAACATAGCCGTCATTAAAAGACTGGGTGTGATCAAAGGTGTCATTCGGCAGGGGGACCCTGTGAACAGCAGCTCTGACCATCTGACCACTATACAGAGGAAACACCACCTTGGTACTCAGTATGGAAAGGAGGGCACACCTACAATACATGGATAACTATAGTCTCAGTGTCTTGTGAGTACAAAGAACAAGACAATGGCTTATTCTTATCTGAGCAGCTGTAGTAGTGGATCCCCAGCTGCACAGCTTCCCGTGCCAAGGGAAAATGGAAAATACTATAATAGCTTCTCTTTTCTCCATTCCCTTTTCCTAGACGATTTTTTTCCCAATGGTGCACTAGAGCAGGACTTTCTTCCCCCTTCTGGTACTCTGCCTGCTAAGGCCAGGGGCCAGCCTTACACGGAACTGATTGGAGGGGCCTGGCTAGGCTCTTACCCAAGAAATTCCCTTTATAGGATCCTTTCTGAGGTCATAAAGGCCATCATAACAGATTCATTACTTTGGCTTAAGACTTCACATACTAATAAAATCAAAATGCCCTCCCTGTAACTTGTTCCACCTTCCCAAACATATATACAAAAAATTGATATGCATATTGTGAATGAGTTCGTGTTCTCCAGAGACACAATAAGTGTAAATAGTTTGCTGAGAGTAATAGCTGGGAGGAGACAGATAGACTTGGTCAATTTCCCCTTGTCAGTTAGGCAATAATAATAATGATAGCAACAAAGGTGACATTTATTGACTATGCGATCTCATCTTATCCTCCCAACAACACCATGTATTAACTCTGTCTTTCAAGATAAGGAAACTGAGCTACAGAGAATTATGCAACTTGCCCAAGGTCACACAGCTAATAAGTGGATAACCAAAGTTTGTGCACCTAATCTCTATGCTACATGCTTCTTCGGAGAGAGGAGTGACTATGGTGCTTCTCTTTCGTACATCTCTTTGAAACCAGACTGCTTACAGTAGACTTGGCTGGATTATTGTGACTGAAATCTCTTAGGCCTTTTGTTTCCAAAACAAAAATGATGGCAGACAAAGGTACAGTAGCACCAGCAAAACTGTCTTCTGCAGTTTGGTGTCTGTGACTTGGTCTGTCTTTATGTCATGAGAACGTTGTTTTCCAGTCTATCTGCAAATGAGCAAAAATGTTGAAATTCATCGTAGTTTTCAGAGTAGAACCTCAAACAGCACTTTAGAAATCAGCAACACGTAACATCCCAGTACTCTAATTCATTGCTGTTAAGAGTCCTCTTTGAAGCCAAATAGACCTTCCACATTCATATTCCAGAAATGCTTCTGTCCCCTACCCCCATGTTTTGCCTGGAAAAATCCTTCTTATCCTTCAAGGCCCAGCTCAAATGTCACCTCCTTTATGAAGTCATTCCCAGCCCCACAGGCAGAATTAATTGATCCTCCTCTATGCCTCCACAGCACTTTTTATTAGCATTGCTAGTATAGATCTTACCACATTGTTTCAGTTAGTTACCGACATAAGGTCCTTGAGGTCAGAGACCTGTCCTATTCATAAATCCTTTTATCCCCACATCCCCAGCCTAACACATACTGTATTTCATCAAATCTAAAACTCCATCGATTGTAAGATACACCATTATTTCATGAACTACTAAGAAAAGAAAAAAACGCTGACAATTATACTATGATATACCAACAATTTGAGGATGTGCCCCAAATTCAGGAATGGCAAAATGTTTTTTTAGGCCAGGCATGGTGGCTCATGCCTGTAATCCTAGCACTCTGGGAGACTGAGGCAGGAGGATCGCTTGAGCTCAGGAGTTCAAGACCAGCCTGAGCAATAGCGTGACCCTGTCTCTACTAAGAATAGAAAAATTAGCCAGGCATGGTGGCACGTGCCTGTAGTCCCAGCTACTTGGGAGGCTGAGACGGGAGGATCGCTTGAGCCCAGGACTTTGAGGTTGCTGTGAGCTATGATCACACCACTGCTCTCCACTCTACCCGGGGCGACAGAGGGAGAGTCTGTCTCAAAAACAAAACAAAAAAACAAAACGTTTTTTTAAAATGTGTTTTGGAAGTAATGCACTATGGTAGTAAGTGTTCATCCAGTGTTTATAGAACTGGATTGTAAACCCGGGTGGAGCAGGTACTCCTAGAGCACTGTGACAGCCCTTGCTTTTAATAAGTAAGGAATTGGAAGTTGGTGGTGAATGGTGTGTGGCTGCATTGCTGATTTCAAATATTTCACCCAACAGCTTAGTTAAAAGGATGAGTGGCCTGATGTGCCATCCCTGTTAAAAAAACAAAAACAGAAACAAGAACCTTGATATCTCCCACTCAGTATACTAAAAGATACAGTGACAATATATTCCGATCAAAATTGAGAGGCACCTAATGTAACAAATAGGAGTGATTAAGAGGCAATGGGACAGAGTACTTGTGTCTGTCTTGATTCTGGTTCTTTAAGCCAGTTCAACCCACTTTTGCTCCCATCTGTCCATGAAAAGGAGTAGTAACTGCCCAAGTTTCTCCCAGCTTACTCCAGCCCTGCTTTTATTTTGATGTGATCCCTTCTCAGCTCCAAACTGTTGGCTCTGTGACCTTTGGTTTCCCTTTCTCCTTGGGCCTCAGAAGTTGGTGATTATATATTGTCTCCCTGGTTAGTGTCTGGACCTAGGCTTTCAGTAGGGCCTTTCCATAGGATGGGTCTTGCTGAGTCTTAGCATCCCATGCTGCCTCACCAAGAACCTGTATTCCAGTTCCACCCTAGAAATACAAACCCCGCCCCAACCCTGGAGCTGGGCTTAACCATGCACTTACCTTCGCTGGATCTTCCACCACACTCCTTCCCTGCCCCAAGCACACATACACACTCATGCAACATAAACCAAATTGTCACTGAAAATCTTAAATGTATGGTTGGTCGGCAGAAATTCTCCTGGAATAAAAGCTCCTCTTTAAAAACAGAATTATCCTGAGGGGATTGAGCCTAGTGGCTTAATTAACACAATGTGAAATATTTTAAACATGTAAGCAGCTCTGCACACTAGCATTCAGGGAATGAGGGTGTTTATGGGGCAAGGACAAAGGGGTAACTTTTAAGGGGGTGATGAGGCAGGGAGTAAAATAGGGCAAAGGGTTCCTACTTTGCTTTTGTGTCTAGACCGTTGGTGGGAAGCCAAAAACCTGAAAGTCATCCCCCCTTTGAGGCAGGCTGCCAGGGCCCAGGTTAAGTTTATCAGGACTAAGACAGAAAGCTCCAAAGATTATCATCTTCCAATTTGGTCCCATCTTCCCAGGCCAGACACGTCTTGTTCAGCCTCTAGGTCAGCTTAGCTTGTCTCCATTCAGTGCCATCCCCAACCTTAATGAGTAAAGAGAAAACAAGACAAAGGAAAAGAAATAACCTCACTTACGCCCTCTGCTGATTTATTATTGATAATATTTGGAGATGTTCAAGCTATAAAAAGGAGGCTGCTTACATTTCCTTTGAAAGGAGGGTCTGCAAAGTAGGTCCCCCAAAGTACTGGAACTGAATGCATCCAATGCCGTAGGAGTTTTACTTCCTCACAGGTATAGTTAACACTTGCAAATAAAATCATTGAGGTGAAATCACAGAACATTAGAACTGAACAGAATCTTGGTGATAGATATGCTGCCTCATTTTATAGATGAGGACTTGAAGGCCTAGAAGGTTAACCAACTAGTTAATGGCAAAGCAGGTACTATAACCCAAGTGTACAGACTCCTAGTCTGGGGATTTTCCCATTAGGGAAGATAGCTAAACTTTTACAGTTGCATCCCATCCTCATAGTCTGCAATTATATTTGGTTCATTGGGCTTAAAAACACCATGCAAACAGAGCTCCAATTACAAGAACTCTTGATGACTGATACAAACAAATAAAAAGAATCAACAGGCCCATCACTTCCACCAAAAGGATTGAGGCAGTACATTTTTACTCTTCGTAAGTATAAAACAAACTGTCATTGCCTGGGCCCCTTTCAGGGGTGGATTACGGTATTAATCAAGCCAGCTCACTAAAAGCTTACCTAGATGACATTCAACACATTTCATCACGGTCCCCACCAGATTGTGATGTAAGCCGGACAGAAGCTCAGAAATTTTCCCCTGGTCGAATTTTGGAAGAACTGTGTAAACAACGCCCCTTGCTGGTCAACACAAGAAAACACAAAAGCCACCGCTGACAAAAGCAGGGCTCTAACAAAGGTCACAGCAATGTCTCTAAGTCGTCTTCTAGTCTATGGGAACCATGGCCAGGTCAAAGGAGAAAGCATGGGGAAAACAGCAGGGGGAAGAAAAAAAAACCTGCATTTTTCCTGGGATGTTTATATGTGCCTAATTAAAGTTAGACCCCAAAGAAAGCAGATACATTTTTGGTATCCCATTGAGTTTGAACGGGCAGTTACAAGACCCACAGACGTATGCTATGCTTATATACATAAACAAGATTTTTATTGTTAACATCAATGAACACAGAGGGAAGAATATTCACGTGCCAAGAAAATATTACTCACAGGATCGCAAAATGGCTGTTGATTTGTATTCATAAATGATTTGGTGAACCACCATGTGTTTTTGAGTGAAATATATATATGTATATATATAAATATAAATATATATATAAAAAAGAGATTTCCAGAGCTTCATTTCCATTTGGACTCTTGCAATAACTTCATTAAAAAGAGAAAGCAGAAGACTTGAGGTTAAATCTATATGTTTTATGGATATTCTGATTCAACAAAAATGAAAATCATATTCTATTACATTCATTTTAAGTGGTGCACGAAGAAAGTACCATGATCACTGATTTGGCTCAATAACTTGCCTGAGGAAAGGCTTTTTTTTTTTTTTTTGAGTTTTAAAAAAACCCCAGCAAAGCAGTCAAGGGTACTTGAAGATGTTACCACCGAAGCAAAGTGTTTTCTAAGCAATTCCAGGGCTCTGTTATTTCTTGCTTGCAGGGTCTTCTCAGCTCTCAGTTCATTCTTGATGGCATCGAGCTCTCTGAGGATCTTTTCCATTTCACATTCATAATACAATTTCATTTCTTCTTTTAGGAGTGTATTTCCAACCTCAGTTTGATGCTTTAACTTCCTAACAGCTTCTTTCAAATCTCTGTTTTCTAGATTCAACTTGTGGATGACTTCTTTGGCTTGCTGGAGCTCTTCAGTTAAATTTTTTACATTTGTTGCTTTCTCAGATAGGTCCTTTCTTAAAGCTTGAAGTTCCCAGTCATTCTTTGAAGTATCCATCCCTGGTTCTTGAAAATTTAGGGGTTTTGTAGATACTTCTTTTTTAGTGTTCAAAAGTTCTTTTTCAGCATTTTCAAATTCCTCTTCTATTTTTCTGCACTTCATATTAAGTTCTTCCAGTTCTTCATTCAAAAGATTCAGGCGAAGTTTCGGAGACATTCCTTTGGTAAATTTCTTCCTTTTGTCTTGTCGTCGTAGTAATTTCTTTGTACCCCAGGTAGAGTGATCTTCTGTGCTGTTACAGCTTTCTTCTGTAGCAACATCCACATTACATGATTCACAGGAGGCAGAATTTGTGTCCCCCTCATTCTTTGAAATGTTTACCTTTCTCGCTCTTAAATTTGGTTCTTGTTCTGTTTCATTTAGTTGGGAAATATATTCTTTCCTCTTAAATTTATTTTCTTCTTGAAACTTTCTACTGGACAAATTATAAATTCCTTCTATTCTCTTGGTCTTATCTACAGTTGTTTGTTCAGAAGACTCAGGCTGAGAAGCCCATTCTAGAACATCCTGTGCACTAAAAAAGGGAGTAAACATATTCTCCTTCCAGTGTTTTCTTCTAGCAGCCATTTCTTCAGGCACCTCTTCCAATACCTGAAAAACAAAATTTAAAATCAAGGCACATTCTTTACACTGGCAGCTAGGGTAGCTGGCTCACGGGTGAAGGAATCTGAACATTTGAGGGCTGGCTCTCCCTCTAACTCACTGGGTGACTTGGGCCTCAGTTTCCTCATTTATAAATTGAAAGGGCTGAACTAGCTAAGCTCTATGGATGCTTCTAGCTTTAAAATTCTTTGATCCTATGAAATATAACCAGTAAACTGACACATTTAGCTACTTATTGTAGATAAAGTAATTCTATGAGAAAGCAACTGTACACATGAAAAAAGACTGCTTTAAAATAACAAAAATGATTTGAAATTAATAGGTTAATATTGGTAATACCTGTGCTTTCAATGTGTCTGATATTTTTTTCTAGTTCTTTTGGATTGGACTATTGTTTATTCATTCTTTAAAGTGACTAAAACATCAGGGCTTAATGAAATGTGAGATGCTTTTGGTAAAATATACCATGCAGACTTCCTTATGACTAACTCTGCCAAATGCCCTTCTGTCTTGACCTATAAATTCCTGCTATTCCAGTCTTGGGCTTTGCTTTTAGGCAAGACTGCCAAGTGTACAGAATTCTATCCGTTTTGACAGCAATTTCATGATGAGAACCTAATGTCAACAATTCAAAATATTAATACCACCAAATGTGTTTTTTCTCAAGATATTGACTCTGAGTATAGTTTTTAGGTGAAAACTGAGCATACTAAATCACAACCAACTTCCAAAATTTATAAAAATTAGAGGATGATTATTTTGTTTCAAAAAGAATCTTCCCTATTCAAAGGGAATCCTTTCCTAAAGCACTGAAATATTTGATTAGTAACTACTTCTGAGGGAAGGGAGAAAGAACTCAAACAACTTTTGAAGGGACACTGGCATCTGAAGCCATGAAAGCTGAAGTTGCCCCTAAATGGTGAAGAGGAAAGGGTCACTTTATTCATTTAATACATCAATTTATTGTAATATATTTGTAGCATCACCACTGAGAAAAATCAAAGTATGCCTGTATCTATTTTAACTATGCACGCAAATATAATTTTCTCCTGGTAATGAAAAATGGCAAATGTTGTGTTTATTTCTTAACTAATATTTGATTTATTTGTAGCAATTTTGGAGAATACAAAGAAGCCCCCAAACAAAAAGAATCTCCTTCATAATCCCATGGTCCTGAGATAACTACTTTTTGGTGTATTATCTGTCCAGTCTTTTCTTTTTAGTAACAGTAGTTTATTTTAAATTACAGATTTTCCTTCCTACAGGCTACCAAGGAATAAATTTGATACCTACAGGTACTGAACATGCCTCTCTCCCTCCCCCACGAAAGAGGGAAGGAACTTACTATCCCCAAGGGTACATCCCTACTGGTAACTACTTGGCTTTGAGGAAAAGTGAAGGTACAAATATTCTTAAAATGAACTCTTCAGAGATGAGGGTTCAGTGAAGGTGTTAAAATGATCAGTTCAAAAGCCATGAGCCGAGCTTCACGGAAGTTTAGTCAATCAGACCATAGTGATAAACTCAGACTTAAAATTCATAGTACGTATTTGCCATTGGAGCGTCATCTCCTTTCTCTTGGAATAGTCCTCTCTCACTTTTATTATTCTACTAGTCGCCATCCAGAAGCATCTATGATCTATTCTTAAAGGGGAACATTATCATTATCCTGGTTTCCCTTCTCTCTAGAAATATGAACGCAAATGAGTAGGAATTATGACAGCAATCATAAAGGAAAGGAAGAGAGGAGAAAAGAGCGTGATGCTAACTGCCAGTCACACTTTTTTTTAGCAGTTAAATTTTTACCGGGCAATTCTGTAAATGATAAAAATGCTTCTAATCGGGCAGCAGTGGCAGAGAGATTACTATTCCTCCTACCTAATTCTGGATGAAGGGCACTGGTGGGATTGATCAGGAAGTAGGTGAGCACAGGGTCAAGTAAAGTGAGGCCACGTTTATACCTGGAGATAGCAATAATGACACATGTGAGATAAAGGTCTGGGTATAAATAAAGGTTAAAATACAAAATTCATTTTGTTAATAATTTTGCTCCTTGAAAAAGTGACTTCTATGTCCAACTCTCCCATAAATCTTTGGAAACACACACACACACACACACACACACACACATACACACACGCATGCACACATATATTTTTAAATTTTCACTACATTTCTTCCCTGAGCTTCTGTACAATTTCCTGGGCATTTGAAAGGAAATTCCTTTCAATGAACCCTATAAAGCTAATGCTCTTCACAGAACTGGGAAGAGTCACTTATTTTATAACTGAGGCCCAGAGGTGTTAAGTGACTTGACCAAAGCTGCACAGCCTGTAGTAGTAAAACTGAGGACCCTGTCTCCCAGGTCAGTGCTTGTTCTAAAATTCCTCTTTATTCATCTGCTAAGTTTCATTCCACAAATTGAAAGAAAACAACCCACTAGTTTCAGAGCTTAGGTATCTTTCAAAGGGCCACAAAAGGAGAGAGGAAAAATGAAGGGGGGAGGGGAAGGAGAATTGCATGTCATATATCAAAGAACAGAAAGAGAAAGGTTTGAAAAGCCTTTTGGAATTTCCCTCCCATGGCTTACACAGGACAGGGTCAAGGGGTCTCCTGAGCTGCTCCTTTTTTTCCCCTCTCTTTCATTGGCAAGATATCCTTTAAGGGCTTGTTCCCAAATCTAGTCACAGAGTGTGGCAAAGCCCAGACTGGGGGTAAAAGCTGCCAGTCTCATTTTCTCTTCGCAAATTGCACTGCTTGTTTTTTTATGTAGAACAAGTATGGCATTAGTGTTCTCTGGCAAGAACAAGGAATATGCTTTGAAAAAATGACACTCCTCTACCCTGGCCTGGCGGCCATTTTGTTCTCAATAAACTTGACTAGATAATTTGTTGCGGCATAAGGCAAATCAAACCAGAAGCCATTACTGAAAGTGTAAGCACGCCTTTTTAGCGGGTCAGTTGTGAACATTTATTATCGTAAGTGCCTATCCAATACTACATTGGATACTGAAGGTCTGAAGGGTAGGGGAAGGAGACCCAAGAGGAATGAAAAATACAAACTAGTCAGAATACAGACAGGAAAACAATATAAAGTCATATGACACAAATAACATCAGTGGTCTAAGACAGCAATCCCCTAGAAGTCCCTGGCATGGGTGTCTATAATATGACATCTATTCATTCGTGTCTGGCATGAATTAATAATGAACTTCTAATGGTTCTAGTTAGTGTCTCCCAGAAAACATCACCATTCATCCTCTGGTGACTTTTTTTTTCTTGCAGTGGCAAAGTAGTAGGACATTTTCGTGGAGTAAGGGATCTCTTGTCTCATGGAAGTGGTTTATATTCACCTAAAGAATTTGGGAACCACTCATAAAATAAATTGAAAATGAATTTATAATGTAATATGATAAACATAATATAAATTTTGAGAGCTAAGCAAAGAGTGATGATCATTTGTTACAAATGCTTAGGTACACTGTTCCATAAAAATCTTAGGTGAATGCATATCTACCTTCAAATAGCTCCAGAAAATAATACACTGCTGTTTATTGTGAAAGGAGAAACCCACAACACCATCTCCATTTTATTTTTAAGGTGGGGCCCTGGGAAGAATACTTATATTAAGGTGGTTGTAAAATTTAATTTGTTTTCTGAAATATTCATATTTTAAGTCACATGCTTTAGGGAAATTTGAGGACATAAATCAAAGATTTTTTTTTTGTTCCTTTATCCCATTTACATTAGAATTTGATTTCAAATTTTCAGGACCATCTCTTTGCATAAATCTAGATCTGCCTGCAAAATGTGATTATTCTTCCAGTCAGGAGGAGTCAGGGACTGGAAAACAGTTCTGGAAGAATGCCAGAGGCTTTTTTTCCCACCTCACGAGAGTCTTTCCTCTCAAACTTTGTAAACCGGGAATGACGATTGGAAAAGGTCACCTCCAACCGTGTTGAGCAACCTTCTGTCACTACCCTCAGCCCCTCAGCAGCTCTCAACTAGGGGCATGGCTTTTAGTCACCGCCCAGAGGCAGTAAGGTGAAAACAAAGGGACCCTCTTAGCACGAGGCACTTTCTCCTTTTATTCTTGAATGGGTTCAGTTCTCCGGACCCTCAGAAAAACTGTTCAGCCCAAATAGGAAAAAAGTCTGTTACAAAGGAAGTCACTAGCTTTGCTTCTTGGCTCAATTGTCCAATTTGTTCTCACTTCAAAGCTGTGGTCCTCAACATATTTTTTTTCTGCTTCCACTGTTTCCAGGCACAAAACACTGCCATCATTACCCTCTTTGCAAAGGAGAAGATTCCGACCTGCCCCCTCTAGGGGAGCTTCCCCATTCTCCGCCCTCTTTGACTGACTTGCAGAAAACCATCGAATACAAAAATGAGGACCCAAATGAACTGTCTGAAGTTAAGGTGGATCAATATGTTTTATTCTGCAAAATTGTGGGGAAGAAGGAAAGGGAAATCCTTGAGAAAGGAATTGAGTATGGACTATGGTGGGAAAAAAGACTGAAGGAGTCAGATATCTTGGCTCCACACTTTAGAACTGCGTCAAGATTTACCTGCTGGGAGCCTCAGATTCTTCATGTGTAAAATAGAAAAAATGTACCTATTTCACAGGTGCTTAACAGAAATGAATGACAGAGGAAATGGAAGCAGTTGTTAAAGTGTACTGTAAACCATGGGTTTTGTTCATTTTTAGGTTTTCCTTACCCTCTCTTTGATCATAAACCAGCCGGCTAACCAACCTAACCCTTCTCCAAAGATATGTGCTCCAAAGTGGCCAGCCCAAAGTCATCAGACCTCAGAAAAAGTTAGTTTGAAAAAAAAAGCAGGTATATTAAAGTAAGCAGAGGGGAACCTAAACATCCAATCTTAGATTAATTTAATCTCCATCACCAGGGAAGAATTGGCCCTAACTCCTATAAGTTAGTTGTTGATGTCCCCAAATTTCTGAAGCTAAATTGAGTCTATCTAAGCACAAAAGTGGTAGTCTTTTCTAGAGCCTAATATATTTGCATTTTTATCACCAATTGCTTTACCAAGAATTTTCCAAATGCCCCACTGTTTTTCAGAGCCACCAATAACTTCTCTGAAATACAGGAATACTAGTTGGATGATTAGCAAGGATGACTTGGTGCTCTTGAGTTTTCCTTGTGCTTCTACAGCATTTCATACAGACCTTGGTTACACCAATATTCTATGATGGCCTGGCATCTTATTCATCTTTGTATCCCTGTCACCTGAAACACAGTAAACCTCAATAAATATTTGTTGAATGAATGATCCTTAATATTCTTCCTAAAAATTCTATAATGCTTTGACCCTAATTGAGGCTTTTTTTAAAAAAAAATACTTATAATTGCTCCTCTGGCTTATAAAGTTTTTTGGGTGACATTTTAGGGAAAGGACTTTTCTTTTTCCCTTGGAGCTTATTTGGTTTAGCTAAAGTCTTCAGGACACTTTTCTTTTGTATTTTTATGAGGCCTCCTTCAAAGTGTACTGACGATGCAGATTGATAATCTAGTTAAAAGGTTGAGGATTTATGTTGGGTGAGACTTGTGCTTCTAACCCATAACAAGATATGAGCCAACACAACTGTACTTGTACTTCCTGAGGTCCAGGGTCTTTTACTGGATGTCGTTGCTTTCCTTCTCCAGTTTGAACTGGGAAAAAAATTCCCCTTCCCTCAGCGTAATTGGGAAATATAGTTAACCAGAATGCCCAAATCCATGTTTATGTCTGAGACGTAGATTAAGATTACGAATGATAGAATGTCATTTGGCCTATGTGAAATGTGATGCCAGACACAGGTAATTTCTCTTTTTAAGTTGTCAACCCATTTTCCCAACTATTACGCCACTAAGTCTTCCTTCCCCAAGCAATACAAATATCAAATGGGACACGAATCACGGTGACATTTTATTCAGCACAGTATCTCCTCATCTTTAGCACCTATTAAACAATGAGCCACCACTGGTGGAAGGGACAGCAGTATGCTTAGAGGCAATGCCAGTATTAATGAGCATGCCAAGAGCTACATTAGCAAAGGGCTGGAGCCTAGGCCTTGCCTCCCTCCCTCCCTCAGAGTGCAGTTAATTTGAAAAAACATTAAAAGGGGAACTCATCCTTATTTTTGCCTTAATCTTTCAGGGTCCTGACATATGGGCCAAGTGTCCACTTCACGGGACAAATTGTCTTCTCTATTGTTCAGCAACTATTGAGGGGGAAGCAAAGTACCATTGAAAACCGGGCCCTGCGAACGGTTATGACCCCCGATTCTTTGTTATTAGTGTGAAATTATTCCTTCTAGAAGAAAAGATAGGGGGAGTCACCTTAACTCCAAAGGCTGAGACTTTATTAGTATGAGAGTCACATTCTTGCTATAAAGCTGTATCTTTGTATGCATAGTTCGGGGGTTTTCTCTGTAAATGGTTAACTGAAACTCTTGCAATCGCTGCTTCTAGTGGAGAGAAGGTGGCTTCAGTTGGGGCGCTGCTCCGGCCCCCATTGCAGGTGACACTTTCTACCTCCCCAGTCCCGCCGTCGCTGGCGGGCGGTGGGAGAGGCCTGACCCCACTCTTCCTTCCACACCCTCACTTCCACGCCCTGTCCCCTTCCCTCCCAAACGCTCGCCAGCTCCAGCCTGGGGCTCTAAAGAGAGAAAAAACCTGCAGTGGGGGTCGAGGTGGGGACGCGGGCACCTGCACCCTGGCTCCCCGCCCCTTCGACCCCGGTGCTGGGGAAGAAGAGGGGCGAGCCGAGGGAAGCCCGGGCTTTCCCTTCCGCAGACATACCTGGAAGCGTGGGTGCGGTCTGGAGAGCCCTGTCCCCTCTTTCCCGAAGCCGGCCACCACCGGCGGGCGGCAGCCCCTTGTTCGGTGCTGGCCACCGCGACCCGACCGGGCCGGCCCGGGCTGAGCCTCTGCACTGCAGCGCCAGCGCGGGCCGCGCCGTTGCCTAGCAGCGGGCGGGCCCGATTTAAAGGGACCGGGACACTGGGGAAGCGCACCGCGGGCCGGGTGCTGCCCGCCCCGCAGTCAAAGCCTGGCCCGAGGAGTGAGAGCATGCCCGGTGGGGTGGGTACCGCGGCAGCTTCTGCCCGGTAAGAAATAGGAGCGCCTCGGAAGAGAGCTGAGTCAGGGTGGGAGGGGGCTAGAAAGTGCAGCCCCACCCACAGAGAGGCTCTTACGGAGGGTCTGGGTGACTCACAAAGCCACCTGGACACTGTGATTGTAGGGTGCCGGAGAGGGAGTGCCATAAGGCTCATCCCTAGCCCTGCTGTTAGTAAAATGACACTGTGGAGGGTTTGCTCTGGAAGGTCACCTGAGTTTGTTCAGGGTTCCTAATAATGTGGGAGTTGCATCCGAACCCTCCTGCCCACGCACACCCTTGCAGATCCGCATGATCTGACCCCTGGCCGAGAGAATTTCTGCCTCTGACCAAGGGTCTACGGACCTTAGGACAGGAGAGCATTGTCCCTTGCCTGTGCACTTATGGGAGACTGGGCTTGTACCTCAGCTAACGCATAGTTTCCTCATTTGCCACTGTTTGAATTTAAAACCCATGGGGTGGGGGAACAACACCTTCAACACTATTGGCAATGTGAAACTGTCCCCTTTTACCGGTCCCCAACGTACTCTCTTCATGCTTCAAAGGTTACTCACAACTCCCAGGATCTGGTTGGGTGACAAGCCCACGTTTTTCATTATGTTATAGATTTCAGTCATGGTATTTTGTTAAATAAACAAATGATGTCGTCCTATTTTGATTAGCCCAATTGCCCAATACTAATACTTCCATCTCCACAATGGACCTGGCCAAGGTTGAGGGACTGAAAAGTGGGCCTGGGGTGTCCGAAATAGTAGCAAGAGTAATTCGTAGGAAAGCTAGTATTTTCTAGGAAGCATCAGGGTGAAAGGAAATACTGGCTCTGGGATCTCAAGTGAAAGGGGATTTAAGCACATTTTTAAAGTGACAGTCTAATTTATCTACTCATAGATCTAGCAAGGGAGTGACTTAGGAACAATACTGGGATACATTTCAAAGCTTCAAAACTTCTTGGGAACCAGATCTAACAGGTGTCCGGGAGCTGGCAAGGTTTCATTCAGGTGCCTTGAGGCTTAGTTCTCAGTCCCTTTTTTCCTCCTCAGAGAACCAAAGTCAACAAGGGTTGGAGGTAGGAAGGGGCCTAATGTCAATGTGTGTTTTATTATGGACTCTGTCAGAATTAGTTTGTGGGATTCTGACAAAACTTCTTTCCTTGATATTGAGTCTCCAAATTGCCTTGCATGTCATCATTTGTTTTAATTATTTTAAAAGGATCCCATTTGTTTTTGCTTGAAGTAAGATCCCTTATTAATGTAGTAAAAGAATCTTTCTTAATTGCTCTGTGCCTCAGTTTCCTCATTTGTAAAATGGGAATAATAATTGTACCTAACTCATGAGAATGTTGTAAGGATTGAGTGAATTGATATTTTTAAAACCCTTAGTGCTTGACACAGAGTAAATCCTGTATAAATTTTTGCTACCCTTATTATCTTGCATTACACATGCATTACCCCCCTAAAATATAAATATTAATGTATATATACATACACAGATGGTGATAATTCAGGGTATGCTCTGGAAAATGGAGTCAGACATCTCAACACCCAGAATTCCAACCATTTATTTCAAGCAGAGTTGCGGACTCCCACTAAGCAACCCCACTCCATTCCCATATTCCTGAAAAAAGGCACAAAAGATTACCTTGATCTTGCTGGAATTCTCTTTTTAAATATAGCTGGTCACTCTGTCTTGTACTAGAGGTATCAAATGGTAGAGAATCAACAACAGTGAGGACACAGACTTTGGTTATTCAAAGCTAATGCAGACTTGGAGATAGGTTTTCAAATATGTAAGTCAGAAAATGGTTTACTCTCTGGAAACTTTACTAATACTAAGGCAACAAAGAACTTGACAATAATAGAATCACATACTCATAGAATGGAGCCTACCATGTAGGAGATTGAGACTCAGAAAAATAATGTGATTTACTCTTTGATCACACAGCAAAATGGGCTTCTTTTGATAGCCCTGGAAAACGATCCTAGTTTGAGTAGCCTCAAACCTGCGATATTTGGGACAATGGAAAAATATACATTTATAAGCATATATTAAATGTGGATACATATTTAAACAATTCATGCAGATAATAATAATGATAGCTAACTTTTGTCACACTGCACATCTTATACATCAGCGAATTCTGTTGGCTGTACCTTCGTAATGTATCCAGAATCTGACAGCTTCTCCGCATTTCCACCATTACCACCCCAACCCTGACCCTCTTCATCTCTTGACTAATGCAATAGCCTCCTAACTGCTTCTACACTTGCCCACTGTGTTAGTTTCTGAGGGCTGCCATAAGAAAGTATCACAAACTGGGTGGCTTAAAGCAACAGACACTTATTTGCTCACAGTTCTGGAGGCTTAGAAGCCCAAAACCAAGGTTGTTTGGGATTGATTCCTTCTAGAGGCTCTGAAGGAGAACTTCTCTCCTAGTTTCTGATGGTTGCCAGCAAATGGCCTTCCATGGCTTGTAGATGCATCGCTCCAATCTCTGCCTCTGTCTTCACATAGTGTTCTCCGTATGTGTCTGTGTGTCTTCACATGGCCATCTCCCCTCCGTGTGTCCAAATTTCCTTCCTCTTATAAGGACACCAGTTGTTGAATTAGGGCCCACCCTAATCCCATAGGAATTCGCCTTAATTATGTCTGTAAAGACACTATTTCTAAATAAGATCACATCCATAAGTATTGGGGGTTAGAACTTAAACATATCGTTTGGGGGGGACCCAATTCAACTCAGAACACCCACCCATCATTTTAGCACAGCATGCAGAGAGAAAATATTAAGCCAAATAATATGACCACTCTGCTCAAAAGCCTGCAAAGGCTCTCAGTTTGATTTACAGTAAAAGCCAAAGTCCTTATAATAGGCTACAAGGCCCTACAGGATTTGTACTAAGAACCCCCTAACTCCCCACGCATACCGACACCACCTCTCTGACCTCCTTTCCTACCCCTTTGGCCCTTTCTGGATCCAATCCAACAGCACTGGTTGCCTTGCTGTTCTGAGAATACCCAGGCACCCTCCCACCATTAGGGGCTTTGCTCAACCTGTTCCACATATCTTACTTCCTTACCTCCCCTCGAGTCTTTATTCAAATCTTAGCTTCTCAGTGAGGCCTATCCTGACCCTTTCATTTAATACTGCCAACTTTCAGCCTCTTCAGCATTACCACTACTCCTTATCCTGCTCTAATTTTTTATAATACTATTTCTTTTTTTAATTTTTCTTTTTAACTTTGGAGATGAGGTCTCGATCTGTTGCCCAGGGTAGATAGAGTACAGTGGTGTGATCATAGCTCACTGCAGCCTCCAACTCCTGGGCTCAAGCAACCCTCCCACCTCATCCTCCTGAGTAGCTGGGACTATAGGTGCATGCCACCACACCTGGTTCATTTTTTCCATTTTTTAAGGACACAATTTCCATTTTTTAAGGACACAATCTAGCTATGTTGTCCAGGCTGGCTATTTCCTAACATCGTCTATTATGCTGTCTTCTGACCCCCTGAACTCCTTGCCCCCATGCAGCACTACACCATAAGCTCCAAGAGGGCAGGGATCTTTGATTTGTTCACTGATATGCCCTAAGCACCAAGCACACTGCTTGGCACACAGTAGGCACCAGTTATTTATCGAATGGGTGAATCAATGGAGCTCATACCATGTGCCAGGAGTGTTTCATTTAATGTTCCTAATGATCTTATGATGTAGGTACTATTGTTACCTATATTTTACAGTTGAGAAAATTGAGGCACATAGAGGTTAAGTAACCTGTCTAAAGTCATAGGATTAATAAGTTGTAGAGCTAGGGTTGAACATAGGCAGGTCTGGCTCTGAACTCTTACAAAGCATTAACATATAAAGGGCTTCTGACCATTAGTTTCAGGAAGACTTTGTATCCAGCTATATCTTGTTCTGACATTCACATTTTCCAACAGCAGGCAATGAACAGTAATAGTTTTCAAACTACTGACATGTCATATTTTTGCTAAGATATAGTTTGATGATGTTTTGTACATTGCATCACACAAACTCTGGAGACTATCTGGGTTCAAATACCAGCTCTACCACTTAACCACTACATGTCCTTGAACAAATTGCTTAAATTCTCTTTTTTTTTATTTCAGCATATTATGGGGTACAGATGTTTAGGTTACGTGTGTTGCCCTTGGTTCCCCCCCACAAGTCCGTGTTTCAAATATGTCCATCCTTCGGGTAGTGCGCATTGCACTCCTTGTGTATACAAATACCCGTCCCCTCCTCTGCTTAAATTCTCTTTATCCCAGGTTCTTCATTGGTCAATTAGGAGTAATTATAGTATCTGTTTCACAGGGTGGCTGTGAGGATAAATTAGTTACTTATGTGTAAAGCAATTAGTGCTTGGTAAATAGTGTTCAATAGGTCTTAGCTATTGGTAATAATAATCTTATATAAGTAACAAATTTTGATCCAGTCTTGCCTATAATGTAGAAGTTGTTATACAAATTTATTCCTGCTGTTAGAAGTCAGAATAATGGTTACTTTGGGGTGGGGTAGTGACTGGAAAAGGTACAACGCAGGCTTCCAGGGTTTTGGTAATGTTCTATTTCCTGATGTGGGCACTGGTTACATGGATGCATTTACTTTGTGAAAAATCATGGAAATGTATACTTAAGATTTGGACATTTTTTTCTGTTTATGTACCTCAATAAAAATTTTATTCAAAAACAACGGAATTCAGGCTCATATCACTTTCTCCTACTTTCTCTATTCCTTTTCTTAAATTTCTCCATACTCCCATTTATCCCAGTAACATTTGCTGAGCACCTCAATGTGCCTGGAATTGGGCTGAGAGCTAGAAGTATTCAGATAGACGAGTGCAATAAATGCAATGGTGGACGTATTCACAAATTAAGGAGGTGCTCAGATGAAGGAGTGGTTGGTGAGATAAGAAATAGGCTTGAGTCAAGGAAGTCTCAAGCTCCTTGGAAGCTGAACCATCTGAG